AATCTATTTCATAGGCAGGTCTGTTCTCAGGATAAAGGAAAAGATCTATACCAGAGGAAACACGAATGCAGAAGACACAACAGTTGCAATCGCAGGGGGAGACACTGGCTTAAATAAAAAAGGGCTATGCTGTCTCTTTGGCTGTTTCAACAATAACGTTCTACCAGAACTAAAAAATGCATCCCAATACCATGTAAAAAAGATCTGCATGGGTTTTGTAGTAAGAGCTGAGTCACCTGATTTCATAACCAATGACATAATTTCAAGTTTCTTTCTCTACCACTTGCTAGTGGAACGACCTGAATGAATGACTTAATCATGACAAGTTGCCAGTTTCTTCATTTATGAAATAGAAAATATAGTATATGCCTTAACTACTCCAAAGATTTATTGTGAGGATAAAATAGTCATGTATGTTAAAGTTATCAAGGACCCAGTAAATGTTAAATGCTACTTCTTTTACCCAGCATTCATAAGGGTTAACTGACAGAAAATCAGCTAACTCTCATTGCAATGAATTATAGCTGGTGTATAAGTAGTTGAGAGATACTTTTTTTTTTAAACTGGGCAAAATGCTAGTGGATTACGGGACCTTCCAATTTGTCCAAAACAGAGAAAAATTCTGCAGCTGTAGAACATAATTTGAGGCCTTAAATTATAGACAAAAGTTCTGAAGGCAGCACAGGTACACACACCAGAGACTCCCCAAAAAGTGAGCCATAGTTCTGGGCATTGCTGCATCATCAGAGTCTCACAGGGATGACCTGAGTTTCCTCGAGCATCTCACATCCATGTGCACAGTCACATGGACTGAGAGAATGGTTCCAACATGTCTGAGCTGAGCCCTGGTACAAACAGCCCTCATCTCCACCAGCGCCCTTGGTTTGAACTTCTTAGAAGAGAGGTACAGCTGCAAAAATATCTAGGCTGGTCTTAAGCATGGGCTCCATATAAGCATTTTTCAGAGTGTCTAATAAATATTCAGATGGGGAAATATTATTGGCAAACAAATGAATAAAATGCTCAAAATAATTAAAAACTAAATGGTTACAGCATGGCAGGCAAATAGCCAAAAGTAAATGTTTAGTGCTTCATTTAAAATCTCCACTGAGTGGACATATACATTTTCTCTAATATATTTTAAATGATTTTAATCTTAGAGTAGATAAGAGAAATTGAAATCTAAGCATGTGGGCATAAGACATCTTACAGGCAATTGAGCCTAAAGAGAAATGGCCCTTTTACTTATATGATTTACGATTTATTTACTCATTGATTTATTCATTCATCAGTTCATTCAACAGTCATTTGTAAACACCTACCAAGTCGAGGTAATAACAATAAACTGAAATTTCACAAATTTCATTAAAGGAAATAAAGGCCATTGAATGATGACTTCAAGATTCTTTCAGGCCTGAGGGACAGGGTGGTGGCATGGAGAAGTCGTAGACGTGACAGAATTAATGTATCCAACCTAGTGTCTCGCACCATTTTCTACATTGTTGAAAGGGGATAAAATCTCTATGCCCAGAGCCCGTGTCTCATGTCTGGTGATTGGAGCACCATGAAGACTGACAGGGGGTGCACTAGAGTCACACGGATGCCCATCAGAGTGACTTGGGGTTGATGCATCAATCACTTCTCCCTGGGGGGTAGGCATGAGCACTGAGGTAACCGATAGAAGCAAGTGCCTGTGGAGCGTCTGGCACACAGTTGAGCGTCTGGCACATAGCTGAGCATACAGCTGCCACAATAGGTGGGGGGAAAATGTGTGGTGGGACACAGTGTTCCCTCATGTCACCCCCAAAGCAAAACAGCATTAAATGTTGAAACTTTCTAGCTAAATACCATTTCAAGACTTGTAGGATCAAAGAAATAGAAAATATATGACACTCAAATTGAATTCCAAAATTGAAAAATTTGAGTTTCCAAGCATAAAAATATGAAGCAAAATTGAAATTCCAAGACTGAATGTAATATGGGAGAATACAAACACGTTTGAGTTTTTTCACAGAGCAGTCAGTATGAAGCAACCAAGAAAACTATGGACAGGAAATAATTTGCCTGTTTGGAAACAGTCAGGAGTTAGTTGGCATAGCCACAATCATGGGAACCTCTTAAACCAGTCATTCTCCTGGGGGTAAAGGGCACAGGAATAGTTTCCTCCAAATTACATCCAAAAGGAAATTATGGGGAAAAGGAGAAGCTCTTAGAGAAAAACACCTGGATGTGAAGAGCAACAAAGTCTCACTCAACGTGTTTTTAGTTTCTTGGAAACTAAACCAATCCAGGCATTGCTAGGATTTGGATAGGATTGAATCCCTAGCTTCTTTCTTCTCGATTTTTATGTTTTCTCTTTCACTCTCAAGTAGATCATGAACTGGCACTAGCTCAGAAGTTACATGTGTTCTGCTCCAAATACCTAACTGGAAATTTCAAGATTCAGGGCAACATGAAACTTTGAAGCTTGCTGCTTGGCCAGAACTTAATTTAAAATTCTTTGTTACTTTAGGAAGAAATTTAACAAAAACCTGTTTTAAGTAACCAGTTTCCAGTCCACATCAGCATCGCTGAATTTGTGAGGAGACTCAGAGAGTTTTTAACTCAAGACTTGGGCCAGGAGAGACGGGTTCAAGTCCGAGTTCTACCTGCCACACACCCTCCATTGACTGCATCTTCCCTTCCATGTAGACGTGTGACCTCCAATCTGTAGGCAACTTCTCTATCCTTTTGTTTCTTCTTCTGGAAAATCAAGGTGCTGGACTAGATCCATCATTTTTATGCTTCACACCACTGAACCATAAACACTGGAGGCTTTGCTAGGGAAAGGGGGGCCTGGGACACAGTGGGGGTGAGTAGGTGGCACTCCCGGGCCCCATTCCTGCTTCCATCAGAGCACTTCTTCTTTTATCTGGTTTACAAACTGGTTTCCCAAAAGGGATTTTTAGAAAAGGATAGAGTAGTTTTAAAAAGTTTGGAAACTTCTAAACTATAGAAGAGATAGACTCTTGCCAGATTGAACCTAGTGTGAGACTCTTCCAGAACGACCTCTTATGTAAGTGATCGCCCAGCTCAGATGGTCACAGTGCTGATCTCCTGAGTTAATGCTTGTTTCCCAAGCCTCAGACCTGGGAGCAACCTCACCACCCTGACCAGAGTTCCTATAGCCAGGGCGTGTCTGCCACCCCTGACTTGGAAAACAGCCGGTGCTCAACCTCTAGCATAATGGGCTCCTTTCACTATTTTTCCTTGCTTGTGCTGGGTCACCTCAATTGCTACTTTTCTTTGATCATTGCCCCACTTTCTAGCTGATGTCCTTGGGGAGGGGAGGATTTCACATTTGTGAAGCTTCTCCCAATTCCTAGTACTCTTTTGAACTTTCATACCACTCTGCTTAGATGAGGAAGTTGTGGTTAAATGATTAAGCAAGAAATTAGTTCTTTCCTATCAGTCCAACACACATTGAAGCACCATATATGTATATGATGCTGTTCTTAGTGTGGGGAAGAAAACAGGTTGGTAAGATGAGAAAAGTCCCAAGAAGGCAAATCTGACCCAGTGGGGAAGGTGGAAGACACCGTGAGGAAGCAGTGGAAGAAGGTCAGCAAGTGTTTCTCAACCTTGTATCTCATTGAAACACTTTCCAGGAAGGAGGGTGAGACCTGAATACAGGAAGCTACAGACAGACTAACTTTTCTCTCCAGGACTGGCATGGATGCCATTGGCAGGGCTTGAAGCAACTAGATGTGGAAGATGAAAACATGAATGTGTATTTTTCATAACATAAACCTGTGCTTATTTCAACATGCATACAAAAATAATAGTTCATTTAGCTATGATTTTACAGACATAAAAGCTTACAAAGGGGCAAAACTTTTCAAGTAAAATTAGAAAAAATACAAACATAATAGTAGAGGTGGCACTAGTACTGGCAAAGATTAAAAATTATGACAGAAGTAAGTGGATTTATGGTTAGGAAACTTAGGGCAGGACCAGCCCCAGAGTGTCTTCCCAGGACTTTCTGTAAAACTACTCTGTGAAACTTTATGCAGACTTTCATTAAAATCATTTATGTGTCCCATGAGATGTCTCTTCATTAATTAGCTGCTTCCATAGTAATTGGTGCACAGAAGATGCTAAATAAGATCATCTGAATGAGTGAATACATAAACGAAGAGTAAATAAGCATGCCTAGCCCCATGGAGGAAAGATTGCTCACACTGAGGAAAACAAGGATGACTAAAAGAAAACCCCAGACTCACATTTGTGGCACCTGGTATACTGACAGGTTTCATAGAAGAAACCTATTTTTCCCAAGATGACGATGGGCAAGGTCTACACAGAGCAGAGAGTCACCTCATACCCCACCTGTGGACTAGGGTCTTCTCAACCAAGGCTCTCAAATCCTAGGCCTGAATAAAGATTAAGGGAAACCATGGTGCTATGCAAATAGCATACCAAGCAGCTTAACAGGGAACCCCACTGAACCCAGGAAAACCACTACAAAGTGAATGCCTGTGGAGCTAAATGAATTTTAGTCACTACAGGTGCTGAGCAGCCATAGAGCACGGGGTGTCAGCAGTCCTGCCCTCTGCCCTGGAAGCAAGGTGTGTACACAACCCGGATCACTTTCTAACAAGCAGAATCAAGTAGCAAAGCCTATTTTTAAAAACAATCGCGGAATACTCTGTGATCAGTGCCTTATACAAGAAGGCTATTTTCAAATAGAATAGAAACAAACTGGAGAAAACAACTGTTTACGTGGTGGAGTGCATCTCCTTCTCACACGTCCTGTCTGTTATTAATCATAAGATTGCCACACCAAGCAAACCCAAATAATCTACCCCGAGTCATCACTTCTGATGATTGCTCAGGCTATTCACTACTAATCAAGAGGATGTTATGAAATGTGAGTCAGACCACTTCCGGCTTTCTGAAAGTGCAAGGACTCTATATATGAAGAGGGAGCTTCCTAGTTGAGATACTGGAGCAGCAGGCATCAGATTTCTTTAGCTGAGAAGAAAGACAGAGGCCGGCATGCACAGCCTTCCTCTGCTGCTGCTGCTGCTGCTCTGGAGCACGGGGTCTCGTGGCTTCCCGACAGCGACTTCAAAAATACAAGAAGATGATGTGGAGATGGTCCAGGTAAGTGCTGAATTTCAATGCCAGGGATGGAAAAGACTTTATTTACATTTTTTCCCACAGTGCAGCAGAGTAGTAGTAGTTATTATTATAAAATTTATTTAAGGGTGGATTTTCTACAAAGACATTTTTGTTAGAATGGTCACTCTCCCCAAAAATGTAGCCATACATTAGACGCTCCATTTCTAGTTGGAGATGAAAGAAAAGTAAGGGAACAATATGCATATTTGGCTTTACAAATTATAATTCTGACTTCTTAGTAACTAATGGTAGGGACATGACTCTCTGGAGTTAGATTCTACCAACGATAAAGTAATTAGGACCATGAGATCTAAATACGAACTTTTAAAGTAGTTCTTCTTTAGTGAAAGAAGTTTCACTAAAACTTCATATGGCCAATCTTTAGAAAAATGAGCAAGAATCTCCTTCCAGTGTTAGAATAATATTATCTTTCACCAGAAATACCTGGAGAACTACTACAACCTGAAGAATAATGGGGAACAAATTGAAAGGCAGAGAAAGAGTAGCCTCGTGGTTGAAAAACTGAAGGAAATGCAGAAATTCTTTGGGCTGAAAGTCACCGGGAAGCCAGATGCTGAGACCCGGAAAGTGATGAAGCAGGCCAGATGCGGGGTGCCGGATGTGGCTCGGTTCGCCCTCACTGAGGGGAACCCTCGGTGGGAGAGCACACACCTGACCTACAGGTAACCCGACTGAGCACCAGACTGAGAATGCTACTTCCCATGAGAGCTGTAAGAAATGAGGTCTGATACGTTTCTATTGTACCTCATTTTTAGGATCGAAAATTACACACCAGATTTGCCGAGAGCAGATGTGAACGGCGCCATCGAGAAAGCTTTCCAACTCTGGAGCAGGGTCTCACCCCTGACTTTCACCAAGATCTCTGAGGGTGAAGCAGACATAATGATATCCTTTGTCAGGGGAGGTAAGCTCTTCTTGTAGCACGAAACTATCCTGACCTTAACTTCACCTGACCCCTTAACCTCCAGCTTCGCAGCTAGAATTCCTTGTTTAAGAGAAATGTTGATTTTATGGGCTCAAGGAGGGAAACCGTATCACAGCTGGCGGAAGTCTGTTGGTTGCTCAGCAAAGCAAGGCCTGGCTCCCCTGCATTACCATAAATAAGAACCAAGAAGGACGTGTGTTGAATTCTGTTTCTTGCAGATCATAGAGACAATTCTCCCTTTGATGGACCGGGAGGAAACCTCGCTCATGCTTTTCAACCAGGCCCACGTTTAGGAGGGGATGTTCATTTTGATGAAGATGAAACGTGGACCAGCGATTTCAGAAGTAAGCCAATTAATCTTGTCTTTCTCAATTCCCCCTCCCCTTTGTGATTCATTGTAATAATTAATAATTTAACTGAAAGAATGCATTTATAGAAGTGTATCTTTTCCACTACTATTTAGAAACTTCATGATACATTTAGAAAAGTGTAAGGAAAGGATGTTCCTGTTAGTAACAAAATCTTATTGGCTATAAATAGACCACACTAAAATCTGTATTAAGAAAATGTTGAAAATCCTGTCAGTTTTGTAAATAGAAAAAAATATGTTAATAGAAATCTCTTGCTTCTCTGAAATAATACATATTATCTAATCACTGGCAAGCCTGAGGAATCTGGGCTAGACCCTCAGGGGACTGAGTTCACCTTTTTATTCTATCAGTGCAATCACAGAGTTCAGGCTTTAACCTAGCTCTTCACTGTTAATGAATTCCTCTCGCCGTAGGAAAAGAGTTTCATATGTTTTTTAAAAAGCTGTGAAGAAAATATGAGCATTACTTCTTGTAGAGTTGTAGATTACTTCTTAATTAAATATCTTAAAACTGCAAACATTTCAAGTAATCGCAAATGGGTTTATCGGCCCTTTTAGATTACAACCTGTATCGTGTGGCCGCCCACGAACTGGGCCACTCCCTCGGACTCTCTCATTCTACTGATATTGGGGCTTTGATGTACCCCAACTACATCTTCAGCAGTGACGTTCAGCTGTCTCAGGATGACATCAATGGTATCCAGGCCATATATGGTGAGTATAAAGGAAAACATCACAGACAAGAGGCCCTTAAAACAGCCATTCACTGTACCTTCTAAGGAGCTGTCTTTCCTTGTTCATGTAATTTTCCCATGCCAGCCACGCTAACTTCAGATCTTTTTTCCTTAGGACCCTCCAAAAACCCCACCCAGCCCGTGGGCCCACAAACCCCACAGGTGTGTGATAGTAAGCTAACTTTTGATGCTGTAACTACGATTCGGGGAGAGGTGATGTTCTTCAAAGACAGGTAAGACATCAACTCTCATTTTGTGTTTGTAATAATAATAACACTCACTACTATGGATCCATATGAGTCATTACTGCTTCACACATTACTTACCTTATATTTGTTTACATAATTATATGGTAATGCTTTTTTGCATGGGAAAAATCTAATGAACTTATAACAACTTTGTTTTCCCATGTGTATTCTGCCATTTGATACTCCAGAAAAAAATGCAATTGAAGCAGAAAGCCAGTAAATATAATCCTATTTTACAAATTAGTAAAGCAAGGCAGAGAGAAGGCTAGAGATCCTTAGGGCACAGAATTCACCGGTGACAGAGGGAGCTGGTCTTCTGCCTCCCACGCCAGGGCTCATTTCACAGGTGGCACTCTGTGTGATGACGGAATGTCAGCACGTACTTTACTGAGAGAAATCCAGCCTTCTCACACCATCATGCTGATACCCTTTAAGTATCACTCCTCCTGTTCTGGAAAAGATGATTCTCCCAGGTTCCAGGGTGGTGACAGGTCTCTGTGGTCCCCAAAGGCCCAGAGCAGGGTAGGAGCCTCAGTGTGAGAATTCCCATGAGTTCTCGAGGCCCCTCTTTTGGGTGGGTGTGAGCACCCACAGTGTGCTTCCCTCTGCAGCGTGTGGCCTCAGAAAGGCTAGTCTCCTCCTGTGTGAGGAATAAACCTACACTATGCACTGTACTGATCCCTAAAGGATCAGGCAAAATAATAACAGTCTTCTGAACGATGCAGTCCACAGCACACAGAAAGTAAGGGTGCTCAGAAGGTCTCGATTCTCCTCAGCCACTGTTTGGAGTGTCGTTGCTGCTGTTTTAATACATTGTGGTCATATCTATCCCAGAATGCAGAATAGTGGCTGCTAATGCATTTCATCTTAGTCTTCTTGACTATTTTTGAGTGTAAAAGAGAAGGCTGGGTGTAAACCTTCCAAGGGGTGGCTCGATTCTGGGAGTGCTGAGGAAATAACTCTGGGAGTGCTGAAGCAAAGCTCTCAGTATAGCAGGGCACCTATCCAAACAAGTATTTGTAGGATTACTCTAAGGAATAGGACCAAGTCTAGAATTTGCAGGAACTAAAGGGACACTGAGATCATTGAAATGTCACCAAATCATGAAGACATGGAAGACTAAAAACAATGCTAATGACTGACTTGCCCAAGGCCTCACAGTCATTCAGATGCGGGGCTGAATCTGAAATTCAGATTTCTGATGGCCAAGGTCATAGTCTCCTGTGGCCTAGAATCTGGAGACGCTTCTGTCAGCCCACATGACAGTCTATGCTTCAGTATTTCCCCAGTGTCTATAGACTGCGCAGTCAACCTCGTAAACCACCAACCACAGCAAGACAAAGGGAGGGGCTGCCAAACCTGAGTTTAAAATTAACCTTTATGTCTTATCAGCTGTGTGGCCTTAGCTCCCTTCACCTCCCACATCTTAATTTCTTATCTGTAAAAAGAGAGTAATATTGTCGTGCAGAGTTTTGTGAGGGAAGGGCCTGGGTGTGGGAAGTTACACCAGTGTAGGACGTCAGTGCCGTGTTCCTGCCGGCCTTGGCCGCAGAGGGATCCCACAGGCTAAGCCGATTTCTACACTGAAGAATTTTGCAAGATGATTGGTTGTTAAATGCAACCATTATTAAAAGTTAAATTACATCAACTCATAATTATATTTAAACCAAAGGTAAAAAAATTAATTAAAACTCACCCCTTTGTGATTACTTTACTATATTTTACTCTTTATTTATATTCTTGACATTGTTTATACCTGATGTGTTTGTGTGGTAGGAATGCTACACAATGGGATGCTACCGCAAATCTCTTGAAATCAGCCACAGGGACAGTATTTCCACCCTGGAACTATGCAAATGCTACAGGCCAGGGCTCCTCCCAACCCTCGCCTTAGAGAGCCAGGTGTTAAACATTTACCAGCACACCACTAGTGCCCGTAGTAAGGAGCTGGATGTCAGCCAGAACTTGCTGTAGACTAGGTCAGAACTTTTTTCTCTTTTCTTCTGTTTTTCAAACCAGGTTCTACATGCGCATTAGTTCTTACTACCCAGAACCTGAGCTCAACTTCATTACTGTTTTCTGGCCAAATCTGCCAAGTGGACTTGAGGCTGCTTATGAGGTTGCTGATAGAGATGAAGTCCGGTTTTTCAAAGGTAATGCTTCCAATTATTTTATAAATTAACTTTTCATTGGCTGTGATATAAGATAGTACTGGTCCCTTTCTCTCCACGGAATTGAAAAATCTAAGTCTCCCCAAATCAATGGCAATCCATCACCTTAATTAAGAATTACATAGTGCATTTTCTCAGACATTTTAAATAAAAAACATGACTAGAGATATAAATTTTCTGGCCTGTTTTATGAACCTAGACTTGTGAAAGTATTTACTGTGAAAACTATTCATGTATTTTAAACCCTTTCTACACCTCACGGGTGGTGCTGAGAAATACAATTGAGAGACTTGGACCAACACTGTAAAAACGATGCAACAGAAACAGTTGTGTTGTGTGATGTCCTAGAGCTATTTTAATGCAAATGACTTTCCTGAGAGGGCTGGGGGGACCTCTCGCTGGACAGTGGGATAGGGATGCTGCAGCCTTGTGGTCAAAGGGTGATGCTCAAACCTACGATGCTGCCGTCACCTGGAGTTTGTAAGAAATACAGAATCTCCCTGAGCGTAATGCCCTCAAGGTCCATTCATGTGGTCAGGTCCCACTCCAGACCTTCTTAAATTTTAACAGATTCCCAGGTGATCTGTGTGTATATTAAAGTATAAGAAGTCCTGAATAACCTTGAAGTGGCTATGCCTGAGGTGGCATCCTAAACTCTTTAATCATTTAAATATTCTGCTTTGGGTAAAGTCCCCAACTCCATACACCAGTCATTCACAGAAAGGCTGTGTGTTAAAATAATCTAAAATACTCTTTAAAATATATTGATTTAATTTGTCTGTGGTAGGATACCAACATGATCATTTTTAACAATCTCCCTGGTCAATTGTACTGTGCAGCTAGGACACTGTTCTAGCGTGTAAGACTAATTTAGCTGGAAATCTGCTCACTGTCTTTTGGTGCCCTGGGTGAGTGTTTCATCACTGTCTCTTGATTGGCAGGTCATAATTACTGGGCTGTTCAGGGACAGGAAGTGCTGGCGGGATACCCCAAGAACATCTACAGATCCTTTGGCTTCCCCAAAAGTGTGAAGAATATTGATGCTGCTGTTTTTGAGGAAGCTACTCAGAAAACATACTTCTTTGTTGGTGACAAGTACTGGAGGTAAAGACCAAGTGCAATAGATGGAACCATTTATGAATGATCCCCCTGCCTTGGCTAGCTGCCTTTTCTATGAATGGCTGTGGCCAGTCCAGCATCCTAGTCTCTTGATTAATAATCATCATGCAATACCTGTGCCAGGAATCCAGGGAGCACTTGGGTCTGATTTTGAAAAAGAAGACACAAAAAAGGAGGGCATTCATCCTCATAGAGCTACTTTAGCCAACAGGAATTTATCTTTAGTTACATTGTACCTTGATAGGACACTGTGTGGCAGCAACTGGAAAATTAAAATTGGATGCTGGAGTCTAGAGGGACCTTATACATTCTATTCTCTAGTCTACCCAATGCCCTACCTCACCTCATCCTACCTGCCCACCTTCATTTTACTCATGACCTATGGAATTAAAAGTTCTTATTATATTCCTATTTGTGGATTTCCTGTATTAATCTTGAGAGGGCTCCATGTTTAACCAATGGTTCTGACACTTTTAATTAACTTTTGACCAGGTATGATGAATTCAAACGGTCCATGGATGCAGGTTATCCCAAAATGATAGCAGCTGACTTTCCTGGAATTGGCAAAAAAGTCGATGCTGTTTTCCAGAAAAATGGTAAGTAAATATATATATATTTCCTCTGTCTTGTCACCATAGAATAGCATCAGTATTATTATGTAGAACAACAAATACCAACAATTATTTGTTCTCACAAATGACTTGGGTTTTTCAAGAATTCAAGTTAAGCCTAGAAATTACTTGTATAATGTAGTAAGTCTCTTTCATTTTGTTTCCAGGATTTCTCTACTTCTTCCACGGAACAAGGCAATACAAGTTTGATCCTAAAACAAAGCGAATTTCGACTCTCCAGAAAGCTAATAGTTGGTTCAACTGCAGACAAAACTGACCAACTGTTTCCATGTGGAACAGAAAAAATTTATTTTGAGAACCCAAGGAAGGTGTTTTCATGAAGAGCCATATTTTTAAAAAATTCAGGGCTATTAAGTATAATTTTCTTTGTACCTCATTCCGCACGTGCTTTTTATAATTTAGAACGTCATGTTTTATGTACTGTTATAATTTAGTTCCACAAATGAGTGCTAAGGAAGGTCAAATTCATAGCTTATCATTACACACCAGCCAGTTTTGGAAAAAAGAGAAGCTCTTTTTCAAAGTATAACACTGACATCAAACCTGGGGAGCAACCCCAGAGATGAACGTGTCCTTTCAATAAAGAGAGAGATACGCGTCTTCACCAGAGAAAACGCAGTTCAAGAACATCTGTGCAGCCACTAGCTTATCATCCTGATGTGCACGGACAGCTTTTGTTACAGAAAATAAAGTGTTTTATATTTGGAATAAAAACCTCTTTGTCTCTACTGTTTTATAAATTTTCTATTAGGCTCAGGTTATAATACTGATTATAAGGCCATACTTACAGAGCTTAAGATTTAAATTTGAAATGGGAAGTAAACAACTATGCAAAACATTCATGTCAGCCATTAGGAAATGCAAAAAGTTCAAATATTTTTTGTTCTCATGGAATTTGCATCACATAGAAGGGAGAAAAGTCTATTTCCCATGTCTTCTATAAGTATTCCGAATTGGTTTTAGGTAAAGCAGTGATGACATGATAGAGTTTTCTAAAGGTGCAATCTTATCTCTTCTTCTGGGAACATGGGGGGATTATGTTTTCCCACAATTTAACTCCCTGCAATTGTTGGGGTTGGGGTGAGCAGTGGCATCTGACTCACGGTGGCCTGTGGACTGTGCCCAGAAGTGACCAATATCACTTCCAGATGGGAACGTTTGATTGCTGGTGCAGAGCTCTCCAGTGGTCTACCTCTGCTATGCTGATTTTAGGAGCAGGTCTCACCTTTCCACAGGATGAAAGAAGCTTGAATTGTCCACTACTTTAAACAGTTACCCCAGACTTCAATAAATATTGCTTAAGAAATCATCCTTTCCTTTTGCTAAGCTACAAAGATTTTAGATTTTGTTAAAGCTGAATAATCTAGTTTTTCTAGACAAGCACTGTCTAGTCTCTCATACCTGGTTGGGTAGGATGTTCATATATGTAGGAGTCTTGCAGGTAGCTTCCAGTTTCATGAATTTTGAGTCACTCAGAAGGTGCTCAGAGTTTTCACAGACTTTCCAAGTCCATAGAGAGTCTTGAGAATATTTTGAGGTGCTCATGATTCTGAGGAAGGAAGTTTTCAACTCAAGAATGTGGAGAGCAGGGTAACCTCTCCTTTGGGGGGAGGTGGGTTTTGCCAGGGGTGAGGAAGAGTGGTTGGGGGAAAATGCAGACAACTGTAAGTGAGCAACAATAAAAGAAAAGAAAAAATTGCACTGGTTTTTAAACATCTCAACATGTGGCATTTTACCAGGTTTGTCAGCTACCTCTCAGTAAACACACAAACATGAATTATCTAGTCAATTCTCTTTCCTCTTTACCAACACATAATATCATTTCTTGGAGATTAATCCTTCCTTGATCATTCAAGTTTAGAAGGTTGGTGGAAATGACTGATGTAGGCTGTATCATCTTTACTTTGAATTTTTCTGAATACTCCCAATGTCATTCAGAATAAGAAAACACATGAATGAACCATATTGTTCAGGCATAAGCATGGCCTCCATATGAAAGGGCAGCCAGTAGTTGGTAGACACAGAAACCAATAAGAGAAGGTGTTTTCCTAAGGTAACAACAGTGAAAATGAGCCATCTTACAACTTAGTGCTGTTATATGTCAGTCTGCTCTGCTTATCATTTGAACAGAGCAGTGAAGAAGGAGAACCCGAATGTGGATCTTGTCCAGGTACATACTTACTAGTTGTGGCCACTCCAGCCATGGGCCAGCCCAAGTGGCGAAAGAGATGTAATTTGATTGGAGGGTTACTGTGTTGCAGTAATTTATCACTAGACAATGTAAAAGTGCTGGAGGTAGAAAGTCCCCTTATTTTCACAGAGAAGGAAAGAAAGGCACAAAAAAGGGATAGAATTACTCAAGGCTTTACGATAAAATCATAGCAACTTTAGAGTTAAATGAAAATAATAAAAAATGCATGAAACCTCTCTTGCTACAGAATTTCTTTAGTTATTTAGTTACAACATTTAGTTTAAAATATTAGGGAGGAGAACCTTGCTCATTTTGATCTTCAGATAATTTCAGGTTCATATGTTACTTGTCAAAGGAGTTCATTCCACTTCAGTCTTAAACTAAGTCTGTATTAACAAAGTGGGTAAAGTATATATTCACCCAAACTCTTCACACAGTCATGTCAAGGAAGGCTTCTTTTTCTAGAGGTACGGAGGATGTGGATTTTCAACTTCAGATTGCTTACTTGGTGAACAAATTAAATTGCAATGAATTTAAAATTTAGTATGAACATATAAATGGAAGTCTAAATAAAAATCAGATTGTCTGACAACCACTTTTGTTTTAATAAACTAGACAATAACTAAAATAAATTGTGAAATTCAGATAAATGGATAAAAAGAATAATAAATGACCTTGAAACTGTATTTATTATTCAATTAGCAATATCTACAAAAGTACTACAACCTCGCAAGAGAAGTGAAACTATTCATGAGAGGAAAGGACAGTAGCCCTGTTGTTAAAAAAAATCCAAGAAATGCAGAAGTTCCTGGGGTTGGAGGTAACGGGGAAGCTGGACTCAGACACACTGGAGGTGATGCATAAGCCCAGGTGTGGAGTTCCTGATGTTGGAAGCTTCACTACCTTTCCTGGTATGCCAAAGTGGAGGAAAACTCACCTTACCTACAGGTAATGGGTCCCAAGGGCTTTTCACATTATACTGACAGTTCACACACTGATCTCAAGAGAAAATGTTACCTTCTTTAATTGCTCACATACAGGATTGTGAACTGGATTTGCCAAGATATGCTGTTGATCTGCCATTGCGAAAGCTCTGAGGTCTGGGAGGATGTGACCCCACTTATATTCTCCAGAATTTATGAAGGAGAGGCTGACATAATGATCAGTTTTGTAGTTAGAGGTAAGAAATAAACAAAAATCATGAAATGCATCCATTCGCCTGGTGGTGTTTCATTAGAAAAGTTTCCAAAGAGATTCTAATTACCCATCTTTCCAATGTTTTTTTTCTCTATTAGATTAATGGACTTGGCCAGGTTTTGGCTCATGCCTGCACACCCGGGCTGGGGTTTTACAGAGATGCTCACTTTGATGACGATGAGCAATGGACAAAGGATACAGCAGATTAGTTATCCATCTCAGAATGATTTTTATTTTTTTATATTTGGAAAAATCTTCAAAACTAAGAATATTCCAGAAATGGTATGTTATAGATTTTCCAATGGGTCAAGCATCTACAGAATATATTTTTCTTTTCATCATTATTGAAAACATTTTCAGATGCCAAAAATGTTTATTCTCTGTCTTGGCAAGCAAAATATAGGAAGGATCCTTAAGTATGTCTTTGATGACTACAGTTTTTGTGTAATCTTAGGACCTTTTTTAAAAATAATTTCTCATTATATTAAATTACAGATATCCATGGGATAATGTATTACATTAAATATATACTAACATGTGCCCTGAATATTGCTTGTATTCAATTGGGGAAAATATTCTCCAATTACTTCTTTACTTTCCCATACAAAAATTGTTTCTGGACTAAAGAGGTCCATTTGCCTGTGCACGTCAGAGCACAATAAGACATGAACAGGAGCTTGCAGCAAAAAAGGTAATAGTTTATTTTTAGGAAGTGGTCCATGCCCAGAGTGACAGGTAAATGAATGTTCAAAGGTTTGGCTCTCCAATGGCTTCAGGGAATGGGTTATACAGGGGAAAATCCAATAATCACCATGAATAAGGGAGTTGGGATCGTGGTCTGGGTGATGGCCTCTGCTGATGGGTTGGTGCCAGGGTAGGGGAGTGTTAATTAAGGCATCTGGTCCTGATGTCAGCCATGACATCTCCATGGTTTCACTGCTTTCCTGGGCCTAGAGCTGGAACACACTGAGGCCTAGATGTCATCTTCAGTTTGCTGACAACTCTTGTCTGTGGTCCATAGACCCAAGGCTTGTTCCTAAGATTATTTGCTACTGATCAGAACCTCATTGTCCTGAAGGTTTAATGGTTAAGGAGGCAGGTAAGTCAGGGTGCTGAATGAGGCCAGTTTGAATCCGAAGGAAAAAAAGGAGAAAAGGTCATATTAAAGAAGTTTCTGCAGAGTTTCAAAATGAGATTTAAAGTCCAGAAACTGAGGTTTCAGTTTAGGTTCTCCTGGTTAAATCGACATTTTACTCCATTTAGATGAAAGAATTTTTATGGATATTTTCTGAAGGACAGGATTAGTCCCAAATAAAACATCCAGACTTCTTAGGTAGAAGAATGTTTCACAGTTCATAGCTGTGTTGTTTTGAGAAATGGCTTCCAAAATTTTCCAATAACTAGCTAAATTATTATTTCAATTAAATAAAAGAAGTAATACTATCTCTGAAATTTAACTAGTAATTATAACCAAATCATAAACCTTATCTTTGTAGAGAGTATAAATGTAAGGTTACTGTTAGATAAAATTCTCGGTTTCATGAAATTAACTTCCTGAAAAGTTTCAAATGAGAACTTTGCTAGAATCACAAGTTACACAAATAACACTTGTAAAAGTAAAGTTGACGTACTTGTTATGTCAATCATAATTACCCAATGACTTCTGATCTTCATAATGCTTTTTTAATTTTTTCTCAATAATTTTTTAAAATATTTTCTTTATTTTTCAAGAGAGGGGAAGGGAAGGAGAAAGAAAGGGAGAGAAATTCTTTTTAGCTATTTTTCAAGTACAGTTTTTTGCCTGTTTCTCCCATCCCAGCTCCCCCCCCACCCCGTGCTCCCCACCTCCCTCCCATTCCCACCCCCCTTAGTTCTCATCCCATTGTCTTTCATATTTGCTTCTCCAAATCCCTCCCCTTTTTCCCCCTTAAATTCCCTTCCCTCTCCACTCTGGTCACTATCCTCTTGTTCTCTATTTCAGTGTCTTTGTTTTTATTCTGCTTGCTTGTTTGTTTTGTTGTTTAGATTCCTGTTAAGGGTGAAATCATATGGTATTTGTCTTTCAACACCTGGCCTATTTCACTCAGCATGCTTTCCAGTTCCATCCATGTTGTTGCAAAGGGTAGGAGCTCCTTCTTTCTCTCTGCTGCATAGAATTTCATTGTCTATATGTACATAATGCTTTTTTTAATATGAAGAAAAAATTAGAATACAGTTAGTGTTTGTGACAAATACTAGACATGACTGGGCATGTTATGATTTAAACCTACCTTACAAACCCTATAATATCTATTATTATTAATATTTTTGAACTCAATATATACTAAATAATCATCATGAAGCTGAAAATAATGCAAGCAACATTCCAATGGCAAATAACAGGAATAAGATTGTTTAAGGATTTCAGAATCGAGATGAATACCCTGTGATTCATCTAATTTAGTACCCAAAAATGTTATTTCTTTGAAATAGTGTTAAGGTTTTCACTGACAAATGAAGAGAAACATTTCTTGATCTGCTAAATGAGTGGGTTCCTTCCATTCTAGAGTATGAGAGAAGGGACCTTGTTCTCATGAAGTTCATAGGCTCCTGAGGCTGGAGAGGGCCATAGCTGGATATGGCTGGACACTTTGTCTCAAAGATTGATATTAAGAATGAGCCTTAAAAAACACCTGGCTTTCCAATAAGTGTGGAATCAGTCAATTGGCCCATTAACCAACAAACAGGACCAAAAAATCCCTGTGCCTCCAACCAGTAAACAAATATAATGCACAGCCGATCTGTGTAATGTACATGTGTTTAGGGAATAGGTAACTCTTATTTATGACCCCAGATAAGCCATGGTCAGATGTTCATCTCACAGAAAATAATAAATGTGTGTTGTTTTAATCCACTAAATTTGCGGTCATTTTAAGTCTGTAATACATGTCTTATACTGTGAATTATGTGGAGTCATAGATGTATAACATTTAACCAGATCATTCAAGTCAAAATTCAGCTGAAGAAGGTCTGAAGGCAGAAATGTCTCACCCATTTTTGGAACTCATAATCTGGCAATGATATTCTTGACGTAGAGAGACATATGACTCTGACTAAGTGAGGTCTGGAGCAAATTTTTTAAATATGGGAAGATGGCCATTGATGTCCTTGCTTGATAGAGGGACCAATTTATTCCTGGTTGCTGCTCATGAACTTGGTCATTCCCTGGGTCTCTCTCACTCGGCCAACATTGAAGCTTTGATGTACCCGGTCTACAACCCATTCACAGACCTGGCCAGGTTCCACCTTTCTCAAGATAATGTGAATGGCATTCAGTCCCCGTATGGTGAGTGATGCTGGGAAAATTAGGCATTGTAGCTTTGCAATGGTGGTCTTTAGGAAAGCTTGAAAATGCTTCACAAAGCGTTTGCAGTCAGCTTGAGCACTTTGAGAGTGTTTGGGAAGCACACCCATTGACAGAAGCATCACATTTTTCCTAATGTTTGCATCTTCACGTCTGTTCTCTTTAGGACCTCCCTCTGCTTCCCCTGATGAGCCTGTGGCGCCCACAGAGTCCGTTCCTCCTGAGACTCCAGCCATGTGTGATCCCACTTTGTCTTTTGATGCAGTCAGCACTCTGAGGGGAGAATTCCTGTTCTTTAAAGACAGGTCAGAGCAGAAACCTCTGTTTTCCCACCTATTCTTTTGATATACAATGCTTAGAAAGATTTGAAATAGTTTTTTAAAGGATTTTATTTATTTTTAGAGAGAGAGGAAGGGAGAAAGAAAGAGAGGGAGAGAAAAATTGATGTGCAAAATAAACATCAATTGGTGGCTTCTCACATGCTCCCAACCAGGGACCTGGCCTGCTGCAACCCAGGCATGTGCCCTGACTGGGAATCGAACCTGGGACATTTTGCTTTGCAGGACAATGTCCAACCAGCTGAGCTATATCAGTCAGGGAAGAAGGAAAAAATTGATGGAGATTATTAAATAAAACGTTTCCACTACGTTTTAAAATTACTCGGATCTGGTTTTTGTTGGATTTTATCATTTTCTTGAAATCATCCAGTTCATTTTTCCAGACTTACAAAGATGATTTTTGGTCATTAGAAAGTAAGGCCAATGAAGGTAGTGGGTTTTTATCTGTTTGCTTCTTTCTTTCTTTCTTTCTTTCTTTCTTTCTTTCTTTCTTTCTTTCTTTCTTTCTTTCTTTCTTTCTTTCTTTTTTGTTTTTCATTTTTATATCCCCTGAGCCTAGAATAGGGCTGGAACAAGCAATGAATGTGTTGAATAAATGAATTAGTAATTGCTGCATCTAAATATCATAAATCATGCAATTTCTTCAAAAAATGCTAGTGGACCTTCAGAAGCAGGACTGTATCTTTACCTTTGCTAATAAGTGCTTTTATTAAAGTCGAATTACTTAACTTTAGGTAAAATGATATATGCTTATGGAACAATATTAAAACATCACCAAAAGAAAACTCTTTCCCATCTCAGTCCTATACAATCCCTAGTTCTCCCTACACATGATTGTTACAAATTTCCTTTGTTTCTTTATAAGATATTCTATTCACATACAAGCATAACTAAGTATATTTTTTCTTCTACTTTTTCCAAAATGAGCACATAATATACACACTATTTTATAGACTTTTAGAATGGACACTACGCTAAATAAATAATTAGTACATTGTAATGCATTTCCCCACAGATTTTATCACCCAGGGGTCATAGGTGACAGACTAGTCTAATACAGACATCTGAATTAGCATAGAGTGAAGCAAAATGACTACGGTTCATATATATATATATATATGGAAAAGACTATTGTAATTAATTTTTATGTATTCAAATATATTGGGCACAAATCCCTCCGGAAGCTCGAACCTGAATTTCATTTGATATCTGTGCTTTGGTCCTCTCTTCCTTCAGGCTTGGATGCTACAAGTGATGTTCCTAGCAAGGGTACCATTTTTATTTCTAAAGGTAAGTACTATGTTATTTTTTAACTTGTTGAGATAAATTTTATTGCAATAATTTTATCGAACTGTGAATTTTCTTTATTATGTTAAATATTGAATGATTTATTACCATAAGATTAGTGATAGATAATGCGTAAATAAATGTGTACAATGAACATTAGAAGTTTAATTTAAAAATATTTAATGAGACCAAAGTGAATAGATGATGTCCTATCTACCTATATTCATTGGTAGATAAAATTCTACCTATATTTTATCTACTTGTATCTACCTATCTATCTCTTTTATCTACCTATATTCATCAGTAGATAAAATTCTGTCTTGTAAAATTGCCAATTTACCTATAAAGGAAAGGAAATTTCAATTCAAATGCCAAAATATTTTTCATGGAATTTGGCATATGATTTTCATAATTTATCTGGATGAACAAAGGCCACAAGCAGCCAAAAATTTCTGGAGAAGAATACGAGGGGTGCTAATGTCCTGTTTACAAAGCCTTCCTAGAGAAGGCAGTGCAGTGTCAGTGCCGGATAGATACATTAACTCAGGGAACTACCCAGGCTTGCTGGCTCCTTTGTCAGACTTTCACACTGCTGCCTCACTCTGCTCCATTGTTCTGTGCTGTTTGAGCTTCTATTTCTTGAGTTAGTTTTGTAAATATATTTTTCCAGGAATCTGTCTGTACATTCTATTTTCAAATTGACTGTTATAAAATTTTCAGAGTATCATTTGTTGTTATTTTAATTATTGCTGAAATTGTGTTTCCTTTTTCATTCCTGATATTGAATCTTTGTGCCTTTTCTTTCTTTATCAATTTCATAGAGTAATTAGGATATTTGACCACTTTATTGGTCTTTGCAAAGAGCTAACTTTTGGCTTTGTCAAACATCTCTATTTTATTTTGATTTTCTATTTAATTGTTCTCTGTCCATATGCTTATTATTTTCTCCATTTTTATTTCATTTGCATTTATTCTGTTACTATTTTTGCAACTTAAGTTTGATACTTACCTTATTATGTTGTAGTGTTTCTTTTTTTCTAATATAAGCACTTATGCTTATAAATACCCCTTGTTTCCAAGCTTTTGCCTCATCTTATAAGTTTTGACATGTACTATTTTCATTGTGTTCATTAAATTTTTTCTTGACTCATAAATTATCTGAGTATTTTAAATTTTTCATTCCAATATAGATTACGATATTTTATATACTTTAAATATATATTTCTAATCTCATTTTTATGAGGAGTAAATGAAATAATGTAAATTACATTGGAAATTATAAAGGGTTATATAACTCTAAAGTATTGCTACTACTCATTAATTTACCTAACATTTATTTATCACTTGCCATGTGCCAAGAACCGTGCTTATTCGAGGAGGTCAAAGCTAAAGGGGCTCAAGTTCTAGAGCTGACTACAGAGATAAAGCCGTCAGCCTTCTGTATGGTAAGTGCTGGAATGGAGGGAAGCCGGGTGCCATGGGAGCCCAGAGGAGGAGCACTTGACCCATACCCAGGGTTCAGCACAGATCTTTGAGAGGAAGTGATGTTTAGAATGAGTATTAAAGGGGAAGAGTTTTCCGGTGTGGAGAGTGGCTGGGTGTTTAGAGAGTAGAAAGGCAGAGAGAAGTATTTATACAAAAGTAAGAGTATATCTGGAACTTCTCAGGCAGGTACAAGGCACTCAGTTCAGGTGGGCAAAGGACATACAATAGATTGACATTTTGGGTTAGTTAACTGGGCAGTGATGTGAGGAAGGGACTCAGGGTTGGCATGAGGGTAGTGATGTAACAAAGTAGAAGCAGAGAGACTGACAGAATTGCATTGTCCTGATTCCCTCAGATTTGTGTGGATTCCTCAGGCACTCAGGCCACATGGACTGAGCAAGGTGACCAGGAGATGGCCAAGAGGAAGTGCCTCCTACTTTCCTGACTTACCGACATGAAGCCTCAGTAAGAATACTAGGTTAGAAATTTAGAGTAAGAAACCCCCAGAAACTATAAGAAATAACTAGGAATGGGCACTATTATATATAAATAATAAATATAATTCCAGAAATGACAGTGGACCAGAGTTATCTGTTCATTTATTTATTCACTTGTTTATTTAATCACTTATTCAGGGAATATTTATTAAGTATCAGCTAAGGACTGGGCATTGGGTTAGTGGTTGGAATTAAAACCAAGACTTCCTCTCTTATCAATAATGCACTAAAATCATTTATAAAACCATAAGACTTCACTCAAAATTTCTTGTTGCTTTTTTTAAAACAGGAAATAAGTTATGGGCCATCGGAGGAAATGAGGTACAAACAGGTTATCCAAGAGATATTCACACCCATAAGGAAACCAAAAGGGAAATTGATGCAGCTGTTTCTGATGAGGAAAAGAAAATATGCTTCTTTGTAGAGACAATACTGGAAGTAAGAAACAATAGAAATGACTCTATATGGAGCCTAATTAAGAAAATTATTTCTTTCTATAAAGATATTCCCCTTGCCCTCTATTTTCCCTAACTTTAGACTTTGTGATTAAGAGTGTGACAACTTATAGTAATTCAACTTCCCAGGTGTAACAAAGGGCTCTCAGAATACCTGGTTACTGGGTTATCTACCCAGATGCCAAAAGACAGCAGGAGAGACCAACCAATGTCCAGACAGTGGCCACCAGAGGAAGCCCATGTGTGGCAGACAGCAAAGAAAAAGTTTACAGGACAAGCATGATGGGAAACAAAAAGTTTATTTTTAGTCAAATGATTTAATTCATTTTGTATTTTATGTGTATACAGTCTTCATGCATTTCTGGCAAAAAAAGGCACTTGGCTTGTATTTGTTTAGGCTTAGAAAATTGACCTCAGACATATACATGGAACATCTGTAGAAGAGTGTTGTGTCCTTGTTTCTGGAGAAAATATTGTTTTATGTGCTGAGCTTAAAGTCCAGGAAAGTCACATATTTTTGTAGTCATAAAAATGTTTAATGCCTCCTTGCACTGTTCAAGAATGAGCCAAGATTCCCTCTGGAACATTAACATGGCATCACACCGCTGCACGGAATGCGGCCTCTGCACATGTTGCACTGTATTTATTTCATTTGGCACACATTTGATGAAAACAGCCAGGCTGCGGGGCAAGGCTTCTCCAGAGTGACAGCTGACGACTTTCCAGGAATTGAGCTGAAGGTTAATGCTGTATTACAGGCATTTGCTAAGAAGACACTCAATGCACTGCCAATGGGAACACTTTAGGGTACTTTATATCAAACTGATTTGGAAAATCAAAAAATTTTTGAAATCATGCAGTCTTGTAGCCTTTTGCTTCAAATTCTTGAAAATTTTGACTTTCTAAGTTATGCAAATTAGGTTTAAATTTTGTGGTTTTTTAAAAATTAATTTCCAAGTCCCTATTTCATACCTGCATGTAAAATCAAAGGATACACCTTAGCAGCAAAGCCATTATTGTTCAGGTAACTGTGTTGGCATAAAAATACAACCAAGTGTAAGCCAGGTTTACTAAAGGCTGGGCATCATTCTCCACTATCTCATTCTCTTCTCTTTTTTAAAATAATTAATATATTTATTTATTTTAGAGAGGGAGAGAGAGAGAAACATTGATTTGTTTTTCCACCTACTCACACACTCACTTGGTTGCCTCCTGTATGTGCCCTAATCACAACCTTGCTACATTGGGGTGATGCTCTAAGCAACTGAGCTGCCCAGCCAGGGCTCATTCTCTTCTATTCCATCCCAAGGTGCCTTGTCTGGCCTTCTGTTACAGTCTGCAACTGTCTGCATTAAATAATTCATTTTAAAATAAATAATAGCCCAGCTATATGCTCAAAATGGATAAGACTTGAGTCCTGGCAATGGGAAGATAAGGAAGTAAACTAGTTCTTTTCCTGAAGGAATGCTGGAGGGAGCTGCTGGCTTAACAACCATAATGCTCGTGAGGCCGATGATCATAGTAACAAGATCATCTTGTTACTACAATCATTAGCCTTAACATATGCTCAGCAGGAAGTGGACCCCCATGCATTTTACCATTAGTCTAATTCTCTTGGTCCAATCTCCTTCCAAGCTGTGATTTAGGGAAGAGGCAAATGGGAAGAAGCAGGAGAATAAATTAAGGTTTAAAAATATCAAAGAGTTTTATTGATTTGGAGGTAGTATAATTTAATTTTTAGAGTACTGGCTTAGGAGTCAGACAGATGAGACGCAGTGCTTCCTCCATCTTCCATGAGAGATATTACTTTGGGAAAACTGCAATATTTCCCTAATTTTCAGGGTTCCCCTCGTTGATAACACCTTACACTGTTTCTGTGAGTAGAGATGAAACAAAGCATGCAAAGCTCTTATTACATATAGTGCCCGGCTCAGAGTAACCATTTAAAACCCATTATTAGCTCACTCTGAGTTATGCGTGTTGCAAAACTGATTTATTTGAAGAATTCCTCATCATCTCCCTCATGTACATTTACAGAATTTTTCTATTTCTTCAGCGTATCGTCGAGGTGTGGGCAAAGTCAGGATGGTGACACGTGGACGGAAGAGTAACAGCTGCTTATGTTCGGTGAGATGTGAAGAAGACAGATCCGTCTTAAATGGATCTAATCATTGTTCACATAATTGATTGCAAGTCATAATTTTTCCTGCATGTGCAGTGGCCAAAAAGAGCCTCGGGTCATCTTCACATGTCATGGAGCAATTATCTGGACCACTTCACCTGCTATTGGGTTATATGAAGAAGATGTGGGAAATGCAATAGGCAGAGACCATATCTCTTTGGGCATTTTATTTACTGTTTAATACTTATTTTTATATTTGGACTGTTTTTTACTTTCTAGAATAATTTATTTTCAATGCAATGACCACACTGTGGACTGAGCGTAAACAAACACTCTGCTAGCAAGTGTAGTGGGAACACACACTCCCTGGGTGGACATGCTGCTGCCACGCACCCTCTCTCCTTCTCTCCACCAACGGGATCTTCATTTTTACCCCCCAGACATTGTAAGTGCTCCTTACACATTTAAGGAAGAAAGACCTTAATCAATGCTTGTTCTGTAGAATGGTTCTGGATAAAATCGGGAAATAGGATTTTAGAATATTGGAACTTAGCAATGTGGGAAATCGTGTGGTCCATGTCATCACTGACAGAGAAGGAAACAAAGTAAGCTTGGGATTCAGCCACCTTTTTTTTTAACTCAAATATTTCTTCAGCAGTGTTCCCTGACTGCTCTGAAGATGAATTTCTCCCATCCTCCTCACTGTCTTGTTAAAATGATCTGTTACCCTTCTGTGCTTGGCAGTTCCTGGGTGATAAGAGTTTGTGCAAATGTCAATTGGATAACAGGTTAATCATCACTAAGTTATATGCTTTACACCATGCCAGGTGCAACATAAAAACTTGTTCATTCTTTCATTGATTCATTTAAATGACAGCACTGTCTTAGGTGCAAAGTACAGGGCAGGGAAGAAAATACATGTAATGCAACCTCTAAGTTTTGTCTAGTGGAAGTAAAAAAACAAGGAGAACACAAATGAATATATGATTATTAATTATAAAGATGTTATTAAAGAAATGACAGAGTGATGAGGGACAATAATACCTGTGGGGGGAGGAAACCATCTGCTTGCTGGCCTAGTGTCAGAACAAAAATCCCCAAGAAACTAAAAAACAATACTAGTTACTCAATATGAAGTCAAGGGCTATTAACAGACTTGAACTTGCACATCAGGAAAAGCCAGCACTAATGGTGAATTGGGAAGGATTTCCAGAAAGAAGTGCAGTGTATGCTTTAATGATTCCTTCCTTTAGCCAGTTTTGGTTCAGGCAGTTGAAAGAAGTTGAATGCACCTACAGGAAGGTGATTCTAGCTTTGGGGAGACAGAGGGATGCTGAGGTGGTGAACAGGCTGGGACTTTTCAGTAAATAGCCACAAGATGTGGTAATGAGTCTGAAAAGAAAGTACAATCTGAAGGGGCTTGGAAGCAGATTTCTCCTCTCCAGATAATGCCTTGAGATCCTGTGCAGAGACCTCAGCTAAGCCATGGCCAGACACTCATCTCGTGGAAAATAATAAATGTGTTTTGTTTTAATCCACTAAGTTTGCGGTCATTTTAAGTCTGTAATACATGTCTTATACTGTGAATTATGTGGAATCATAGACATATAACATTTAATCGGATCATTCAAGTCAAAATCCAGCTGAAGAAATTCTGAAGGCAGAGATGTCTCACCCATTTTTGGAACTCATAATCTGGCAATGATATTCTTGACACAGAGAGACATATGACTCTGACTAAGTGAGGTCTGGGGCAAATTTTTGAAGTATGGAAAGTTGGTCATTGATGTCCTTGCTCAATATGGGATATCTTTCTCTTTCTGCATTTTACTCACCTCCTTATCCAGGCATCGAGTAACGCTCTTGCACAACATTTGCAGGCAATAATGAAATTCTGAATGATAACAAGTCAGATGTGTTTGAGTTATAAATGTACCTTTCTTGCTATTGACAAGTATTAGGGGCTGTGTGTTAAATACGCTTGTAAGAGACAGAAAAATGGTAGAACCAGAGCAATATACACACAGAGATAAAGAGAGGGGAGAGACAGAGAAAGAAGGAGAAATGGAGAAGGAAAAAGGTAACATGGTGGCAAGAAGAACAGGTTTGGGCAAGGGTGTGTGAACCACATTCGAAATGCAGGAAGATAACCCAGACATGCACAGACATAAGAGGGAGAAGTCTGTGAAGTGGTGGAGAGGCAGATTGAATAAGGAAAGGGTTAAGATGATAGAAGGTAGGACTGCATTAGGGAGTGACACAAAGCCAAACCATCCATCGAGCAGCCTGGAGTCAAGGAAGGGAGAGTAGCCTGAAGAGCCATTTCAGTCTAAATCCTGGGATGGACAAAAAACCTGATGGAAGGGTGTTTATGCCTCAAAGACCAGGATCCGAGAGAGTATAAGCTGGTCCACCTAAGAGGCAAGCCCTGACTGTTCAAGTGGAGGGAGAGGTGCTTGCATGAAGTAGGTTCCTAGAGGTCAAATGACAGCTGTACCTCCTCAGCTCCTTCATTCTTTCATTAATTCACTCATTTAACAGATAGTCAGTGAGGTCTGCAGTGTGCTAGGCACTATATTAGGAACACAGGACACAAACATTTACAGACATGGCCTCACTCTCCCAGAGCTTGTATTCTCCAGAGGAAGACAGTCCCTGTGATACAATACCAAGTGCTATGGGCATAATGGAAGAAGCATGCAGAGCTGTGAGCTGATGTAGAAAGGGCTCCATCCCAATGTCCAATACTGACAAGTCATGAGAAGCTACCAAGGGGAGGAAAAATCTGAGTGGAAAATAAAAAGCAACAATTTAAGGAGCAAGGAGAAGGGAGGTGGTCCAGGCAGAGAGAAAAGAGAGTATGGAAGGTGTTTATTACACTTTGTGTTCTAAACCAGTGCTTTTCAAGCCCTCCATAGTTGAGAAGCAGTTTCTTAAACTTTCAATGAATTGTGGGTCAATACTTTGTAAAGTATAATAAAAATTGCTAGGAAAATAAAATGACAAAGATTTTAAGGGTGCCCAATTTTTAATTATGAAATTGAATAGGACATAAATCACTCTCTCAAATTGCTAGACAAGCTTCTAAGTACTTAGTTTCCATTTTTTTGTACTTATCTCATTATGGGATGATAACAAACTGTTTCTGGGCCAACAAAGGCAACACTTTGAGTGGCAGCTATGCATTACGGAGAGGGGAGAAAATCAGGGAACTCCACCGCCAGAAGCAATTTTTGGGTATAGCAGACATTCATACTACTGAATGATCGAAAAATTAATTATGGGACTGAGTGAATTGTAACAGATAAATCCTCCAAACCACTAATTGTTAACACCAGGGCTAATATTCCGGTAGAGACAATGGGATCCCAGCATCTGAAACAGGAAAAATAGAAAAAAGTTCAGGGAGAAGATGAGAAAAACTTTTTTATCTCTTATTCGAAGTAATTTTATTATTTGTTGCCATGCAAATCTTCTTACAGTAAACTCTCTTTAGTACAATTTGATTGACTTGATTAGAAGCATAAATAGAAAATAAAACAAATCACAGGAGCTGTGCCCAACAATTTCTCTCTCTTGCTTCCAGCTACCTCCTTGTACTTCAGGACTCAGCTTAGGAGTCACTTGTCTGAGACACTCCCTCTCTCCTCCCAGATGTGTTGCATCTCATGCTGATGTGTTCCC